CAGAAGGACGGTAGACCAACATGGAGACAGAAGGACGGTAGACCAACATGGAGACAGAAGGACAGTAGACCAACATGGAGACAGAAGGACGGTAGACCAACATGGAGACAGAAGGACAGTAGACCAACATGGAGACAGAAGGACAGTAGACCAACATGGAGACAGATAGTAGAGTTATGATATAGGGTGCTAGCTCACTGTGGAGCGGTGAAATATAGGTTCTTTGAAGGACCGTAGACCAACATGGAGACAGAAGGACGGTAGACCAACATGGAGACAGAAGGACGGTAGACCAACATGGAGACAGAAGGACAGTAGACCAACATGGAGACAGAAGGACAGTAGACCAACATGGAGACAGAAGGACAGTAGACCAACATGGAGACAGAAGGACGGTAGACCAACATGGAGACAGAAGGACGGTAGACCAACATGGAGACAGAAGGACCGTAGACCAACATGGAGACAGAAGGACAGTAGACCAACATGGAGACAGAAGGACGGTAGACCAACATGGAGACAGAAGGACCGTAGACCAACATGGAGACAGAAGGACGGTAGACCAACATGGAGACAGAAGGACGGTAGACCAACATGGAGACAGAAGGACGGTAGACCAACATGGAGACAGAAGGACGGTAGACCAACATGGAGACAGAAGGACAGTAGACCAACATGGAGACAGAAGGACAGTAGACCAACATGGAGACAGAAGGACGGTAACCAACATGGAGACAGAAGGACGGTAGACCAACATGGAGACAGAAGGACGGTAGACCAACATGGAGACAGAAGGACAGTAGACCAACATGGAGACAGAAGGACGGTAGACCAACATGGAGACAGAAGGACAGTAGACCAACATGGAGACAGATAGTACAGAGAGAGCACAGAGAGCACAGAGCAGGGAGAGAAAATAAAGCAATGGGATAGAATGAATGGGATGGGATGGGATGGGATGAATGGGATGGAATGGGATGGAATGGGATTGGTTGGAATGGGCTGGGCTGGGATGGAATGGGATGGGTTGGGATGGGATGGGTTGGGATGTGTTGGGATGGAATGGGCTGGGATGGAATGGGATGGGTTGGGATGGGCTGGGATGGGATGGGATGGGTTGGGATGGAATGGGATGGGATGGGATGGGATAGGCTGGGATGAAATGGAATGGGATGGGTTGGGATAGAATGGGATGGAATGGGCTGGGATGGAATGGGATGGGCTGGGATGGAATAGGCTGGGATAGGCTGGGAAGGGATGGGATGGAATGGGCTGGGAAGGGCTAGGATGGTCTGGGATTGGCTGGGATAGGCTGGGATGGGCTGGGATTGGATGGGATGGGCAGGGATGGGTTGGGATGGGATTAGCTGGGCTGGGCTGGGATACGCTGGGATGGGCTTGGATGGGATGGATGGGCTGGGATGGGATGGGCTGGGATAGACTGGGTTGGGCTGGGATGGGATGGAATGGAATGGAATGGGATGGGTTGGGATGAAATGGGATGGAATGGGCTGGGATGGATGGGATGGGCTGGGATGGGCTTGGATGAGCTGGGATGGGATGGGCTGTGATGGGCTGGGATTGGATGGGATGCTCTGGGACTGGCTGGGATGGGTTGGGATGGGATTAGCTGAGCTGGGATACGCTGGGATGGGCTGGGATGGGCTGGGATGGATGGGATAGACTGGGATAGGCTGGGTTGGGAAGGGCTGGGATGGAATGGAATGGGCTGGGATAGACTGGGTTGGGCTGGGATGGGATGGAATGGAATGGGATAGAATGGGATGGAATGGGATGGAATGGGATGGAATGGGATGGGATAGGCTGGGATAGGCTGGGATAGACTGGGAAGGGCAAGGATGGGATGGAATGGAATGGGATGGGTTGGGATGGAATGGGATGGAATGGGATGGAATGGGATGGAATGGGATGGAATGGGATGGGATAGGCTGGGATAGGCTGGGAAGGGCATGGATGGAATGAAATGGGATGGGTTGGGATGGAATGGGCTGGGATAGAATGGGATGGGCTGGGATTGGCTGGGCTAGTCTGGGATAGGCTGGGATGGGCTGGGATGGGCTGGAATGAGCTGGGATGGGCTGTGATGGGCTGGGATTGGATGGGATGGGATGGGCTGGGATGGGCTGGGATGGGTTGGGATGTGAAGGGCTGGGATTGGATGGGATGGGATGGGTTGGGATGGGAAGGGCTGGGATGGGCTGGGATGGGTTGGGATGAGAAGGGCTGGGATGGACTGGGATGGGTTGGAATGAGCTGGGATGAGCTGGAATGGGTTGGGATGGGCTGGGATGGGATGGGCTGGGCTGGGTTGGGAAGGGCTGGGCTGGGTTGGGATGGGCTGGGATGGTTGGGATGGGTTGGGATGGGATGGGATGGGATGGTTGAGATGGGTTTGGATGGGTTGGGTTGGGAAGGGCTGGGATGGGCTGGGTTGAGATGGGCTGGGATGGGTTGGGACGGAACGGAATGGGCTGGGATGGGTTGGGATGGAATGGGCTGGGATGGGATGGGATGGGTTGAGATGGTTTGGGACGGAACGTAATGGACTGGGATGGGCTGGGATGGGTTGGGATGGAATGGGCTGGGATGGAATGGGTTGGGATGTAACAGAATGGGCTGGGATAGGCTGGGATGGATTGGGATGGGTTGGGATGTAATGGGCTGGGATGGACTGGGAGGGGATGGGATGGAATGGGCTGGGATGGGATGGGTTGGGATGGGCTGGGATGGGATGGGTTGGGATGTAACAGAATGGGCTGGGATAGGCTGGGATGGATTGGGATGGGATGGGCTGGGATGGGCTGGGATGGGTTTGGGATGTGAAGGGCTGGGATTGGATGGGATGGGATGGGTTGGGATGGGAAGGGCTGGGATGGGCTGGGATGGGTTGGGATGAGAAGGGCTGGGATGGACTGGGATGGGTTGGAATGAGCTGGGGATGAGCTGGAATGGGTTGGGATGGGCTGGGATGGGATGGGCTGGGCTGGGTTGGGAAGGGCTGGGCTGGGTTGGGATGGGCTGGGATGGTTGGGATGGGTTGGGATGGGGATGGGATGGGATGGTTGAGATGGGTTTGGATGGGTTGGGTTGGGAAGGGCTGGGATGGGCTGGGTTGAGATGGGCTGGGATGGGTTGGGACGGAACGGAATGGGCTGGGATGGGTTGGGATGGAATGGGCTGGGATGGGATGGGATGGGTTGAGATGGTTTGGGGACGGAACGTAATGGACTGGGATGGGCTGGGATGGGTTGGGATGGAATGGGCTGGGATGGGATGGGTTGGGATGTAACAGAATGGGCTGGGATAGGCTGGGATGGATTGGGATGGGTTGGGATGTAATGGGCTGGGATGGACTGGGAGGGGATGGGATGGAATGGGCTGGGATGGGATGGGTTGGGATGGGCTGGGATGGGATGGGTTGGGATGTAACAGAATGGGCTGGGATAGGCTGGGATGGATTGGGATGGGTTGGATGTAATGGGCTGGGAGGGGATGGGAGGGGATGGGATGGCCCAGGCCCTAGTTTCTAGTCTCCATGTCAAGTCTACCTGGGTGAGACGCATCAGTAGAGCTGCAACTAAAACTGCTGCAGACTGCACAGCCTCCTCATGCAGAACAAATGCAAGATATTCCACTCTTTTTCTCTCTCTACACTCCACAACCAGTGGAATTGATCCGGACGCCTTTCCTCCGAGTCCTAGTCTCTCTCTCTCTCTCTCTCTCTCTCTCTCTCTCTCTCTCTCTCTCTTTCTGTCTCTCTCTCCCTCTGTCTCTCTCTCGTGCTGTCTCTATGTCTCTCTCTCGCTCTCTCGCTCTCTCTCGCTCTCTCTGTATTTCTGTCTCTCTCTCATTCACACTGAAAACGTTCAAACACTAGTCGAGAAAGAAATGGATTAAGGGATGGGGTGAGGTGAAACTAAAGAGAATGACATCAATAAATCTTTAGTGCTTATAGGGCTGCTGAGAACAATGTTTCATGCAGTAATGATCCGACTGAGGCTGCGTCGCAAATAGCACCCTATTCCCTGCGTAGTGGGCCCTGGTCAAAAGTAGTGCACTATGTAGGGATAAGGGTGCCATTTGGGACGCACCTGGCTCCTGGTCCACAATAGGAACCTGAGGTCCTCTGTGACCCACCACTGTCTAATTGTTTACCCGGCTTTAAAACTACAACGCCCAGGGGAAAAGCCAGAAGCTATTTAGTTAGCTCTCCTAGCCTGAGTCCCAAATGGCAACCTATTCTTTGACCAGGTCTCAGGGGCTCTGGGCAAAAGTAGTGCACTATGTAGGGAATAGGGTGCAATTTGGGACTCATTCCTAGCCTGCTGCTCTTTCATTGTCCCTTTTCCAGAGGCGAGAGAGTGAACGCATAAATCCAAAAGTCCTGACGTTTGTTTGTTACAGGGAGTTGGTTGAGCTCCATGCAGACCAGAGACTGTTTGTTACAGGGAGTTGGTGGAGCTCCATGCAGACCAGATACTGTTTGTTACAGGGAGTTGGTGGAGCTCCATGCAGACCAGAGACTGTTTGTTACAGGGAGTTGGTGGAGCTCCATGCAGACCAGAGACTGTTTGTTACAGGGAGTTGGTGGAGCTCCATGCAGACCAGAGACTGTTTGTTACAGGGAGTTGGTGGAGCTCCATGCAGACCAGAGACTGTTTGTTACAGGGAGTTGGTGGAGCTCCATGCAGACCAGAGACTGTTTGTTACAGGGAGTTGGTGGAGCTCCATGCAGACCAGAGACTGTTTGTTACAGGGAGTTGGTGGAGCTCCATGCAGACCAGAGACTGTTTGTTACAGGGAGTTGGTGGAGCTGGTTGGCTGTTGCTCAATGCTGACCAGAGTCATCATGAGACTGCATAGCCAAAACTTACAGGACTAAGAGAGGGAGTGCATTTGGCCTTCGGCTTGAATGGCATTAAGGATTGGGTGCTAGGCTGTTGTGGTAAATCAGTTAGCTGAGAGAAATCACACCCAACATGTCTGGGAGAGTGAGTTCCACCATATCTTCTGCTGTTGCTGGTGGATGAATGTGTGAGACAACTCTATGCTTTCTAATCCAACACTATACTCCATGGTTCATAACTGTTGTAACAGAGGTTGGGTTAGAACCAGTCATGCCTGAGACCTGCAGTGTTGTGTTGTTGACCTGATCCTCTTTTGACGTGTAGGAGACCCGTGTTTGAACCCAGTTGGTCACACTATGTTAAGGATCCATTTTTTCAATCACACACATTAAATACGTTTACATTTGGTGGCAGCGGTGGGATTTGACATTGATGACTATTTTATTTATATCTTACTTGATATCACTTATAATGTGCAATAGTAAGGAGTTGATAGTAACAAACAGTCGAATCAGTCATTGTTGTAAGGTAGTGGTGGCAACCATAGAAATGGAATTACTCAATATGGCCGCCCATTCTCCCATCACTGAACATTGTCTTGAACAGGGGATTTCCCATTCTAGTAATTATATTTCTATGTTGGCAACAACCAAGGCCTAGTGGATGCCCCTGTGGTAAACTAGCAGTGTTTCCCAGTCTGCAAGACTACTGAGTTAGATGATAGATAGATTTAATCCCAAATGGCACCCTCATAGGGCCCTGGTCAAAGTAGTGCACTAAATAGGGAATAGGGTGCCATTTGGAACGCAGACATAGACCTGGTCCAATGGCTGCTGCATGTGTCTGTAGTTGCTCAACTCCCATGGTCTCTTCACTTTTAGAAAAAAAGGTGCTATCTAGAACCTAAAAAGTTTATTCGGTTGTCCCCATTGGAGAACCCTTTTAAGAACCCTTGTTGGTTCCAAATAGAACCCTTTTGCTTCCATGTAGAACCGTTTTGGGTTCCATGTAGAACCCTTTCCCATCGAGGGTTTTACATGGAACACAAAATGGTTCTACCTGGAACCAAAACGGTTTTACCTAGAACCAAAAAGGGTTCTGCTATTGGGACAGCCAAAGAACCCTTTGGAACCCTTTTGGACCCTGTAGATGTATCAGTGAGTCAGTCACTTCTCTCTGCTAATGAAGAACAGCAGATGTGTTGTCATAATGTGTGAGATATTATCTAACTGCCCTGGAAGATCATCTTAAAAAAGCCTAGACTCTGAATTCTTATATTTTATCCTTTGTTGGGGTGATATTTTCATATTCCACCTTTGTGTTTAGAATCTAGATTTCTTCTATTTTAAATAATGAAAAGGTTTATGAAGACCTCATTTTGTAATCATAGTCGGACTAGACCTCATTTTGTAATCATAGTCGGACTAGACCTCATTCTGTAATCATAGTCAGACTAGACCTCATTCTGTAATCATAGTCAGACTACATTTACATTTACGTCATTTAGCAGACGCTCTTATCCAGAGCGACTTACAAATTGGTGCATTCACCTTATAGCCAGTGGGATAACCACTTTACAATATGTATATATATATTTTCTTTTTTCTTTTTTTTCTCTTCTTTTTTTGGGGGGGTGGGGTGGGGTAAGGGGGGGTAGAAGGATTACTTTATCCTATCCCAGGTATTCCTTAAAGAGGTGGGGTTTCAAGTGTCTCCAGAAGGTGGTGAGTGACTCCGCTGTCCTGGCATCGTGAGGGAGCTTGTTCCACCATTGGGGTGCCTGAGCAGCGAACAGTTTTGACTGGGCTGAGCGGGAACTGTGCTTCCGCAGAGGTAGGGGGGCCAGCAGGCCAGAGGTGGATGAACGCAATGCCCTCGTTTGGGTGTAGGGACTGATCAGAGCCTGAAGGTACGGAGGTGCCGTTCCCCTCACAGCTCCGTAGGCAATCACCTCATTCTGTAATCATAGTCAGACTAGACCTCATTATGTAATCAATCATAGTTCGACTAGACCTCATTATGTAATCATAGTCAGACTAGACCTCATTCTGTAATCATAGTCAGACTAGACCTCATTATGTAATCAATTATAGTCAGACTAGACCTCATTATGGAATCAATTATAGTCAGATTAGATCTCATTATGTAATCAATCATATTCAGACTAGACCTCATTCTGTGATCATAGTCAGACTAGACTTCATTCTGTAATCATAGTCAGTCTAGACCTCATTCTGTAATCATAGTCAGACTAGACCTCATTCTGTGATCATAGTCAGACTAGACTTCATTCTGTAAACAAATTCAGACTAGACCTCATTCTGTGATCATAGTCAGTCTAGACCTCATTCTGTAATCATAGTCAGACTAGACCTCATTCAGCAATCATTGTCAGACTAGACCTCATTCTGTAATCATAGTCAGACTAGACCTCATTCTGTAATCATAGTCAGTCTAGACCTCATTCTGTAATCATAGTCAGACTAGACCTCATTCTGTAATCATTGTCAGACTAGACCTCATTCTGTAATCATAGTCAGACTAGACCTCATTCTGTAATCATAGTCAGACTAGACCTCATTCTGTAATCATAGTCAGACTAGACCTCATTCTGTAATCATAGTCAGACTAGACCTCATTCTGTAATCATTGTCAGACTAGACCTCATTCAGCAATCATTGTCAGACTAGACCTCATTCAGAATCATGTCAGACTAGACCTCATTCTGTGATCATAGTCAGCTAGACCTCATTCTGTAATCATAGTCAGACTAGACCTCATTCAGCAAGTCATCGTCAGACTAGACCTCATTCTGTAATCATAGTCAGACTAGACTCATTCTGTAATCATAGTCAGTCTAGACTCATTCTGGTATCATAGTCAACTAGAACTCATTCGTAATCAGTGTCAGACTAGACTCATTCTGTCATCAAGTGCGCTAGACTCATCTGTATGCATAGTCAGAGCTAGTCCTCATTCTGTAATCTGAGTCAGACGAACTAGTTCTTAATCATAGTCAGGACTAACTCGTGCTTCGTATGGGGCATAGGTCAGACTGGAGACCGTCATTCCTGTAATCATTGTAGACTGATAGACCTGCATTATGTATCATAGTGATAGACCTATCTTAATCATAGTCAGGACTAGACCTCATTCTGTAATCATTGTCAGACTAGACCTCATTCTGTAATCATAGTCAGACTAGACCTCATTCAGCAATCATTGTCAGACTAGACCTCATTCTGTAATCATAGTCAGACTAGACATCATTCTGTAATCATAGTCAGACTAGACATCATTCTGTAATCATAGTCAGACTAGACCTCATTCTGTAATCATAGTCAGACTAGACCTCATTCTGTAGTCAAAGTCAGACTAGCCCTCATTCTGTAATCATAGTTAGACTAGACCTCATTCTGTAATCATAGTCAGACTAGACCTCATTCTGTAATCATAGTCAGACTAGACCTCATTCTGTAATCATAGTTAGACTAGACCTCATTCTGTAATCATAGTCAGACTAGACCTCATTCTGTAATCATAGTCAGACTAGCCCTCATTCTGTAATCATAGTCAGACTAGATCTCATTCTGTAATCATAGTCAGACTAGACCTCATCATGTAATCATAGTCAGACTAGACCTCATCATGTAATCATAGTCAGACTAGCCCTCATTCTGTAATCATAGTCAGACTAGACCTCATTCTGTAATCATAGTCAGACTAGACCTCATTATGTAATCATAGTCAGACTAGTCTCTCCATTTTCTTTTTCCTTTTTTTCCGTAAAAACTCATTTTTATTTTCAAACAAAATTCCCTAATAACAAAACAGGTCTATCTGTGTGTTGTGAGATAATTATTAGAAAATGTCCTTCTAATGTCGTGGCTGATTGCCATTGGAAAGGTCACCTGCTGTCCCCTCAGTAGACTGATATGCCATTCCTCGCCACATTACAGCCTAGACAGCTTAATGGTGGTTATGGGATGATATAACAGCACGCCCGTTCTCTAGAATAATTGACAATTACAGTTGACTGTCGTGGCTATAGGGCAAGGCTCTATTTAAGGGTTTTCTAATGGACATTTACACTATGAAACACCAGGACCATTATTTATCCCCTGGCTTCAGAATGCTGCTGCTACTCAGACATGCCTGATTTGCAGATACAATCTACACCTGGAAAGCCCAATAACGTCTATAGAATCTTTAGTTTAACTAAGCTTTATTCAATAAAAATGCATAGGTTTTTTTTAGGTTGAAAGAATTGGAAACCAATCCCCATGTCTTGTGCAATCATTTAACCCAGAAATCAATGATTAAATTAAACAATCAAACAAACAACCAAATCAATCAACCAATCAATCAACCAATCAACCAATCAACCAATCAACCAATCAACCAACCAACCAACCAACCAATCAACCAATCAATCAATCAAACCTTGCCCTGAGTCATGGCTATCCAATGCACTGACATAGCTTGGCCTTTCTCTGATGCACTGATTGACATTTACCTGTTCTCTCCCCAGGACTACAGAGTGAATATCTTCCTGAGACAGCAGTGGAACGACCCCAGGCTGGCCTATAGCGAATACCCCGACGACTCTCTCGACCTGGACCCATCTATGTTGGACTCCATCTGGAAACCTGATTTGTTCTTCGCCAACGAAAAAGGCGCCAATTTCCATGAGGTTACGACTGACAACAAGCTACTAAGGATTTCAAAAAATGGGAACGTATTGTATAGTATTCGGTATGCTATTCTTTTCTTGTTGTGTCTTCCCCTTTTCTTGTTAGTTTCTCAGAATGTCTATCTGGTGCTAGGTCTATGGCTGACAGATGAATGTCTATTGGGTGCTAGGTCTATGGCTGACAGATTAATGTCTATTGGGTGCTAGGTCTATGGCTGACAGATGAATGTCTATCTGGTGCTAGGTCTATGGCTGACAGATGAATGTCTATCTGGTGCTAGGTCTATGGCTGACAGATGAATGTCTATTGGGTGCTAGGTCTATGGCTGACAGATTAATGTCTATCTGGTGCTAGGTCTATGGCTGACAGATGAATGTCTATCTGGTGCTAGGTCTATGGCTGACAGATGAATGTCTATCTGGTGCTAGGTCTATGGCTGACAGATGAATGTATATTGGGTGCTAGGCCTATGGCTGACAGATGAATGTCTATCTGGTGCTAGGTCTATGGCTGACAGATGAATGTCTATTGGGTGCTAGGTCTATGGCTGACATATTAATGTCTATCTGGTGCTAGGTCTATGGCTGACAGATGAATGTCTATCCAGTGCTAGGTCTATGGCTGACAGATGAATGTCTATCTGGTGCTAGATCTATGACTGACAGATTCATGTCTATCTGGTGCTAGGTCTATGGCTGACAGATGAATGTATATCGGGTGCTAGGTCTATGGCTGACAGATGAATGTCTATCTGGTGCTAGGCCTATGGCTGACAGATGAATGTCTATCTGGTGCTAGGTCTATGGCTGACAAATGAATGTCTATCTGGTGCTAGGTCTATGGCTGACAGATTAATGTCTATCTGGTGTTAGGTCTACGGCTGACAGATGAATGTCTATCCAGTGCTAGGCCTATGGCTGACAGATGAATGTCTATCTGGTGCTAGGTCTATGGCTGACAAATGAATGTCTATCTGGTGCTAGGTCTATGGCTGACAGATTAATGTCTATCTGGTGTTAGGTCTACGGCTGACCGATGAATGTCTATCCAGTGCTAGGTCTATGGCTGACAGATGAATGTCTATCTGGTGCTAGATCTATGACTGACAGATTAATGTCTATCTGGTGCTAGGTCTATGGCTGACAGATGAATGTCTATCGGGTGCTAGGTCTATGGCTGACAGATGAATGTCTATCGGGTGCTAGGTCTATGGCTGACAGATTAATGTCTATCCAGTGCTAGCCTATGGCTGACAGATGATTTCTGATTCGCCTCTATATTGCTTATGGTGGAAACAAAACATATATTAACATCCACAAAACAACAAAAGTGATATACTTTAAATGCGAGCATCTTTGCAGTGTATTTGATCTGTTATCAAGCCTAGTATTGAACCCTTGGACAGACAGAGGGGAATTTGATCCTTATAAACAGCTATGTGAAGGCAGTGAGAAGAGGCCTTCTCATTTCTTACCTTGACACCATCAATATTATTATTATTGTTATTATTATTATTATTATTATTATTAAATGAACCCTTTAGATCGCTTTGATCTCACCTGACCCCGCGCTAAAGAGAACCTGCCTCGGTGTATTTTCTGATTGAAAAAAGAAACCTTATAAATAACATTTGTCGTGAAACTGTGATGTTGCAATGCGACCAATAGACCTGCTCCTCACCTACCTATCTCAAGATAAAAGGAAGGCGTTTGCAGCCGTCTAGGTAGAAGCATTAATGGCTGCTGCTTTTATAGATGTTTTTCAATACTCACGGTATGAACGACAACATGGAGATGCAGCCAGTCCGTTTGGGGATGAGGTCTGCATGCATGATTAGCAGGAAGCTGTTTGTCATGAGGGGAAGAACGCCTGAGGTGTGTAATGTAACCTTTTATATTACAGGCCATCATGACAGGACATATAGCAGCAGTTATAACAATATGTTACCCTGCTACTCTAATACTGTGCTTTAGAACAATATGTTACCCTGCTACTCTAATACTGTGCTTTAGAACAATATATTACCCTGCTACTCTAATACTGTGCTTTAGAACAATATGTTACCCTGCTACTCTAATACTGTGCTTTAGAACAATATGTTACCCTGCTACTCTAATACTGTGCTTTAGAACAATATGTTACCCTGCTACTCTAATACTGTGCTTTAGAACAATATGTTACCCTGCTACTCTAATACTGTGCTTTAGAACAATATGTTACCCTGCTACTCTAATACTGTGCTTTAGAACAATATGTTACCCTGCTACTCTAATACTGTGCTTTAGAACAATATGTTACCCTGCTACTCTAATACTGTGCTTTAGAACAATATGTTACCCTGCTACTCTAATACTGTGCTTTATAACAATATGTTACCCTGCTACTCTAATACTGTGCTTTAGAACAATATGTTACCCTGCTACTCTAATACTGTGCTTTAGAACAATATGTTACCCTGCTACTCTAATACTGTGCTTTAGAACAATATGTTACCCTGCTACTCTAATACTGTACTTTAGAACAATAACATAAGAAGACATAATATAAACCTTATTATAAGACATTATAAAGGCATATAACATGCATATAACATGTTGTTATAAGTGCAGACAAAGTGTTACCAACATTATTACCTAGTTTAATGATGGATACTATGTGACCAGAATAACACTGATCCTGGCCTGTCCCATGGACCTCATGTGTTCTAGAAAGTTCAAAATTCCATTCTATTCTATTCTATTCCATTCTATTCTATTCCATTATATTCCATTCTATTCTATTCCATTCCATTATATTCTATTCCATTCTATTCTATTCCATTCTATTCTATTCCATTCCATTATATTCTACTCTATTCTATGTAATAACGCTGATCCTGGCTAGTCTGTTCTGTTCTGGTCTTTCCTGTTTTATGCTGTTCTGTTTTGTTCTGTTGTGCTATTCTATGTGACCAGAATAACGCTGGTCCTGGCCTGTCCGATGGACTTGAAGAACTTCCCTATGGACGTACAGACGTGTATCATGCAGCTGGAGAGTTGTGAGTATTCCTTTAGGAACACAGTTATCACACACACACACACACACACACACACACACACACACACACACACACACACACACACACAGGTAGGGTAAGAGGGGGAAGTATTTATTTTGTGTTGGTGAGATGGATGTGTTCCTGGTCTGGAGGACAGTATGATGAAAGGCCCAGTGATTTACGTTGCCCCTGCAGCAGCAGAGAGCAGATACAGGGAAGGGACAGGGAGGGAGTTAGGGGGGGGACCAACCTGCTCCAACCTGCTCTAACCAGCCATCACTGGCTTCTCCCTCCCTCCCCACCTCCTCTCTTTGGAAATGATGGCGTTGTCTTTTTTTCTTGACTTATTGTTCTCAGGTATGTAGAATGAAAGCAACATGTATTGCTTCCGTATGAGCACTGTGGAGCTACGGTAGAGGTGGTTGATCAAGGCATTTAAACATTCATCATACCGCATTGTCAATAATGATTATTTTTCTCTTAAAAAAAAAAACAGCTTGAATGTACTGTGGTACTAATCTGTGGTAGTAAGACTGTAATAATACTGTGGTAATAATGATCTTGTTTCAAACTGTTCCCATCCAGTCGGCTATACGATGAACGATCTCATATTTGAGTGGGACGAGAAGGGAGCCGTGCAGGTAGCAGACGGACTGACATTACCTCAGTTTATACTGAAAGAGGAAAAAGACCTGCGGTACTGCACCAAGCACTACAACACAGGTTGGTCTGTCTCCACTTCTCTGGCTACCTCTACCTTTTGTAAGGGGTTTGTACGTTGAGCTAAACTCTCTTTCTCTACTTTGGGCTTTAGTTGGCAGTCTGAGAACAGCGTAACACAGACATTACAGGGCTTTAGTTGACAGTCTGAGAACAGCGTAACATAGACATTACAGGGCTTTAGTTGACAGTCTGAGAACAGCGTAACATAGACATACAGGGCTTTAGTTGACAGTCTGAGAACAGCGTAACATAGACATTACAGGGCTTTAGTTGACAGTCTGAGAACAGCGTAACATAGACATTACAGGGCTTTAGTTGACAGTCTGAGAGCAGCGTAACATAGACATTACAGGGCTTTAGTTGACAGTCTGAGAACAGCGTAACATAGACATTACAGGGCTTTAGTTGACAGTCTGAGAACAGCGTAACATAGACATTACAGGGCTTTAGTTGACAGTCTGAGAACAGCGTAACATAGACATTACAGGGCTTTAGTTGACAGTCTGAGAACAGCGTAACATAGACATTACAGGGCTTTAGTTGACAGTCTGAGAACAGCGTAACATAGACATTACAGGGCTTTAGTTGACAGTCTGAGAAACAGCGTAACATAGACCATTACAGGCTTTAGTTGACAGTCTGAGAACAGCGTAACATAGACATTACAGGGCTTTAGTTGACAGTCTGAGAACAGCGTAACATAGACATTACAGGGCTTTTAGTTGACAGTCTGAGAACAGCGTAACATATACATTACAGGGCTTTAGGTTGACAGTCTGAGAACACGTAACATAGACATTACAGGGCTTTAGTTGACAGTCTGAGAACAGCGTAACATAGACATTACAGGGCTTAGTTGACAGTCTGAGAACAGCGTAACATAGACATTACAGGCTTTAGTTGACAGTCTGAGAACAGCGTAACATAGACATTACAGGGCTTTAGTTGACAGTCTGAGAACAGCGTAACATAGACATTACAGGGTGCGTTGTTAGGACACGAAACGCTGGAACACTGATTGGGAGAAAGAAGGGAGGAAGGGCCGGATCAACCATAGCTTTGTCCCAAATAGCACCCTATTCACTGAAAACCATCTGGCCACTCAACCTCACCAGTCTCACATTGTTACTCTCCAGATACAACAGAAAGAAACAGATATTGAAGGCCAGTCTATATGGAATCTAAACAGAGACTGAAAGCCTGTCTAGATGAAATCTAAACAGAAACTAAAGGCCAGTCTAGATGGAATCTAAACAGAGACTAAAGGCCAGTCTATATGGAATATAAACAGAGACTAAAGGACAGTCTAGATGGAATCTAAACAGAAACTAAAGGCCAGTCTATATGGAATATAAACAGAGACTAAAGGCCAGTCTAGATGGAATATAAACAGAGACTAAAGGCCAGTCTATATGGAATATAAACAGAGACTAAAGGCCAGTCTAGAATAATCTAAACAGAGACTAAAGGCCAGTCTATATGGAATATAAACAGAGTTAATCTTCTATATGGAACAACAGACTAAAGCCAGTCTATATGGATAAAACGAGCTAAGTTCATCTATACGATCAAACAAGACTAACCATTCTAGCTATCTAGCGGATAGCATCTATATGATTATCTATACCATCTTTTATCAATCAGACTACCATCTATTAAATAACAGACTAAAGGACTCTAATGAACCAAACGGACTAAGGCCTGCAGAATAATCTAACAGAGACTAACCCAGTCTATATGGTATCGAGACTGAAGTCATCTATATGAATAAAACAGACAAAGCCAGTCTATATGGATAAAACAGAGACTAAAGGTCTCTCATGGATCAACAGAGACGAAAGGCCAGCTAGATGGAATCTAGACAGAGATAAAGGCCAGTCAAGGATTATAAACCAAATAAGCAGCATGAACAAACAGAGCTAGGCCGTCTAATTTGATATAAAGTCGAGCTAGGACAGTTAGATGGAATCTAACCCGAGCTAGCAGTTGAATAATACAGTAGACTAAGGATCATAGGATATAAACCGAGCTTAAATTTTTTTAAAA